AGATTTAAATCCATTGGACTATTGTATCTGGGATGAATTTGCGCAGTGTGTCAACTGGAAGAAAGTGACATCAAAAGCCACACTGATTGATGAATTAAAATGTGCAGTCAAAAAAATTCGACAAGATGTTGTGTTGCAAAGTTGTTCATCTTGGACTGCTCGTTTAAATCGTCTTTTAAAAAATGGTGGAGGTTATTTAAAAAAATAAATATATGTCATCTTGTAGAGCTTAAAAAGACCTATCTTTTGAAAAAAAATTAACCTCGAACAAACCAGATTTGATGGATATATCAGTAAAATACTGAGAGGCTCATTATTCCTGGGACACCCGTTAATAGATGAAAATAAAGATTTTAATCGAATTTGTTTTGTCTTATTTGCTTTTATTGTAGCTATTTGAAATCAATTGAACAATATTTTCAAATGTGTTTCATTGGATTTTATTCAAACTTTAGCATCAGTATTTCAGCAGAAAAAACAACAGCTACTTTCGAATCTAATCTGATTAGTTTATCAATTATGATCTGTCAACAAAAAAATGAATTATGCTCTTTGAATATTCTTTTTTTTAAAGAAATGAACAACAAGAAAAAAATGACTTCATGGATGAAATCCAAAGAAAACACTTCTGTGCGCGTGAGAATCAATGTTTGTTTTTACAGAAAAACGAAAAAAAATACTTTCAGTGCTGATAGATTTAAATCTCGCTACATGAGTAAATACGAATTGAATCGACTGGTTCGCCACCACCATCAGCATCTGTCATACCACGAACACCTAAAAAGTTCAGAGCAAAAGAGTGATTAGAATTATGTGATATCAAATCGATTGAATTTACCATGAAGATTGATTGACTCGAAAATTTTAATTCCACTGATTATCTCACCGAATACCAACTAAAGTATACATAAATCAAATAAGTCATTTATATTAAATGATATTCAATAACTTACGTAACTATCATTTAACATTGGAGCGGGGCCTAGAAATGATACAAACATAAAGATATATTCTGATTAAATCATCATACATCATTACCTAATGTAATAATGAATTCGTTTAAGCTATTCGTGGGATCCATACTGATTAATCCTTTTCGATCGTGAACTATTCTAGATTTTTCTTTTGGGGCAGTTCTATCTTTTAATCTACAAATTAGAAAACAAATAAAACATAATCATTTCATGAAATCATTTGCTTACTTTACACCTTCAGAACTACACATATAATGATTTGGCCGCCTAGGAAACAAAAATGAAAACAAAATCAATTAATCTTTTCTTATTATCGATTTCAGATAATGTATCTACCTTTGATAAACTTGTTGGGTAATAAATAGTTCAACTGGCTATTTTCATAGCAAAATCCATATCGATTGCTGCAGTTGGCTCGAAATGCATCTATCGAAATAAACAAATAAATTAAATCAAAATCTTTCTCTTAATCATTGATTTTGAATATTTTGATGATTGTAGAAATAAGATGAAAAAAATAAAACTTTCCTCTTACCACATCCCAGAACAATCATTCCGACCGTCGGAGCGACCATCTTAAAAGGCCTGAAACGGGTATAAAGCGGTATAATAAGGCATTAGTTCTCACCTTATTTCGCCGTAATCCGTCATCTCGTTTAACGGACCGCTTTTTTCGCTAGAAAACGGTGACACTTTTTCACGTTTTATAGCCGTTTGAGGCCGTTTACGCACCGTTTTCTTGGACATGAGATGTCACAGGAGCTAATTCGTCAAATAGCTAGATCAAAGGATGACATGGCACGATTGATTGAAATACCAATGAAGCAATTCTTGGACAGATCTAAAATCAAAACGATGCAAGATAATTTAATTTATTGAACATCTTGAAAATATGCTACTTGCTAAATATTTTTGAATATCTTGTTTAAGTCGTTCTCGCTCACGTTGTATTTATTCTCGTTTCAGAAGCATATCTGCGAAAGGGTTGACAGCATTGATCGATGGTAAGTCGACAACGAATGGTGCTGGTGCATGAGGTGGCAACAGCGGCATAACCAGGAGTTTTAGAGCAATGGGTAAAACAGACAAAATTCTTATTGATGGACCAAACATTTTTTGATCCAATAAAGTATCTCTTAACATAAAAAACACAAAAATATGAAATGAGGACCTGGAATGAATTTCATATCATTCTTCAACATGAGAGTTCAGCGACATGCACTTAGTCTACCGATACGTTGTCGACATGTTCTGTAGACAAATAAATTAGTCAACGACGCATTTTCTATCTGCATTATGAATTTCTAGGTTTTGTCAATAAAATAGCGTCCACAACTCTGATCGGAAACTATTCATATTTCTTCGTTTCCGATCGTCAAAAGGAAACAATCAAAAAAGTACTTCGGAATCCTACTGTAAATGGAAACCATCGGAAACGTAGTATGGAATACAGCTTCCGGAATTCGATGGAAAATCACCGGATCAGACTGTTTTCCGCCGTACGTATTTGACCTAGGATGAATGAAAACAAAAAAAAAACAGTCTTTCTTATAGTTAATTTTGCTTATTTTTAGTTTGAATATTATTTTGTGTTATTCTATCGTTTACATTTATTAATTAAGCAACAATCGGCTATACATTTCAAAGACGAACAATCTAGAATAAGTTAAATATGTTGATGAAGTTTTATTAGGTTTATTTTATCATTTAAATTAAAATGTTGCTAAACGATTTATGAATGTTTGTTCAAAAATGTAACTAGAATCATTTTAACAGCTAAAAAAAGTTGAATTGTTTTTCGATTTCAGTTCAACAAATAATTCGAAAAATGATTTATCTGAAAAGTATTTTTCGCTTGATGTTTTAATTAAATAGATGATACGTGATCATATATATGTTGGAGGGGAGATTAAAATCTAGGGGAATTTAAAATTGCCCTAGGAGAAATTAAAATTTCAATCTCCTCTAGGGCAAATTGAAATCTTCCTCTTTCCTGTATATTTCTTACGAAGAACCGAGGATTTTAATTTCACCTAGGGGAAAATAAAATTTTTCTCTTTCCTGCAAATTTTGTACGAAAGATCGGAGATTTTAATTCCACCTAGGACAAATTAAAATTTCAATTTCTCCTATAGGGTAATTTTAAATTCCCCTAACCAGCAACAAATTCACTAGTATTTCTGCGTTTCCTATGAAGTTTGAGTCAAATTCGTAGG